AAGTACCCCATAAGCCACCATGATAATTTTAATTTTTCCTTGCCAAAATGAATTTGTTTATCGACATGATTAAATATGAATTTAAAGATGTGGCATAATATTCATCTATTTTTATTATTAAATAATCACGGTCGTTCCAAAGTCCTCAAGGGTGTTGCAAGTTGACTTTCATTGAAATCGGGATGCTCCACTTCAAGCACATGGCTTGTAAGTTTCACATGTGTGATGTAAGTTGCATCTTTCTGTTGGTTGCATCAGGAGAAGTTCATTCGTTTTTGTATGGATTCATCTCCAACGAAGCACCTTTTCTGAACACGGGATGTATTAATAGACAGACGGTATTACACACTCTCATCTCGTTTGGCGAAAAGTTTTCCTGCACTTTGCAATCATCCCGCTGCAACAGGGAATTTTGCTGGAAACACTTTATTATTGATCTGCCATTAATGAAGTTTGGGATTACCAGCGGCTAGAGTAAGATGCATCCCTTTTGTCAGCAGTTTAATGACGTGACGCGCTGAAATGCGCTTTTGCCTCACAGCCGCAAACTTTGTAATCACGAGATGGAGCACTTTGCCACAAACTGATCCGTCAGCACTAGGCGCGTGTGTGAAATAAATTCTCTCAAAATCAGCAAAAATTAAAACTTGCTCAAATTCAATATGGATTGTGAAAATTAATTGCACTGAAAATAATTAAAATTATTCATGAGAATTGCACGGTGAATTCGGTTTTCCAAAGTGTATTTGGAAAATATAAATTTTAATAAGAATGTGAATAACAGGCTTTATAAAAATTTTAATTTCACCAATCATCAAACCTATTTCAAGAGCAAGACAGAACTTAAAATCGGTATTTTCTATTTTACTTTTAATCCATTTAATACTTTTTCTGTTCCTGAAATATGGTTGCAGACCGTGACCTAATCGGGTGTGGCAATTATTTCAAGCAAATTTTCACTCCATGTGTACAGAATAAATCTTTCCCTGATAAATTTTAAACGTTAAAAACACCATTTCAAAATGTAGCTTTATTTTATAAAAATTAATCTAAATTAAATTGGAATATCTGCATAATTCTAGAAATTATCTCTTCATCCGGAAAATTGAGTAACTTTTCCAGCCTCAGCAAACAGTTCATGCCCATTTTTCACAGCAGACAAAGCCCATAACCGTAAAATTACACACTTCCCATTTCACCTATGTACTTTTCGCACGCGAGAAGCTCACAACAAACAGCGAAAAAGTTTCAATAAAATCACCCGAGTGCAAAAACTCGCATTAATTCAACACGGTGCCACTATTTACTGGCGCTGCGAGGGCAGTTTGCTCGGCGCTCGCACAACATAAATGCTTGTTTTTGCTTTCTGGGCGCACACATAGGGAGAGCAGGTGTGTAATTATGTGTGTCCGAGCGACGCTTAATGCATTGCACTTTGCATTGCAAATTTATGCACATGGGTGTATTTCGCAACTCTCTCACAACAAAACACTGAGACCATTCTCTGCGGAGCTCGTCGATTAATTATTAATTTAGACCCAGCCCAAGTGGCGCGCAATCACCCTTATTGCCATGCTAACCCAACCGCGGAGCAATTAATTAACTATTTGCTAGAGAGCCGATTGCACTTGAGTTCGATTTGATTGGCATATCATATTGCATTCGTGTTCAACATGCCTCAACGAATTGATATTTTAATCTAGAGTCTTTACAAATAATGATTATTTATTATATTTTAAATCAATTTTAAAACATTTAAACCTATTTAGGTGCCTTATTATCTGAAATTGGTGGCAATAGGAGATTTTAGGTGAAAGAGACAATGTGAAAATGTAAATAGTAGAAATCAAATTGTACAGTGTTTCAAAATAGTTGAAAGAAATTTAGGTGATTTTTTACCCTTCAATTTTAACTAATGATAAATACTATTTGCGCCTTATTTGCTATTAATTAATTCACTTATTAATAACATTGTTGGTTCTTTTCTATAACAAATTGATTGATCTCTCCAAATTGTCCTATTCCCATTATAAGCTTAACTTTTTCCAACCTGCATAAGTGTTCATAATATTTGTCCAAAAACTATTTTTCAAGATATCAAAGCGTTGAGTAAAGTTAAACATTGGCTTTAAATATAACTTTTGAAAGTCATTCCCACCATTTCAATTTAAATTTGAACTTTCTTAGATATAATAAAAAACCTACGAAGTTAAGAAATACTGAAATTTTTCAGAGTCCAGCTCTTTCTTTTATTATATTTATATTTATTATTTTGAACTATTTTTATTTTTTTTTTTGGAATGTTAATGCAGATGAAGCATGCATTAATTTTTATTCACATTCAAAACATCCTTGACGCTTATCGTGATATTGTAGCCATGCTATGTTGTTGCTCTGTATCTGTTTAATTATTTTGTTAAATATCACAGAATGTAATTATTTCATTCTGTTTCCACGTCTCAACAAAAACCTCAAGTGCAATCTTCTCTAGCTGTAAACATCTCGACTCGTATAATTACAGAAAGGCTGCCTCACTCCCAACTGAACGCTTTGTTAATCCTTGAATGGAGGCGCAACTCGTTTAATTTTTAATTCCATTCATATTAAAAAGCCACTATCGCTGGCAGAACGGAATAGCAGCATAAATTTTGCTGTTCTCTCTCGCGCGTTGTGCATATGAGAGCACCGAGGCAATAACAACCAGGCGCATATATTTATAAACGTGTCGCTGCTGCCACACGTCTTACTTTATCTGCCCCTGCCTAGATTAAAGGGCATAAAGTATTACACCTGTTCCGACCCGTAAATAGCGCGCCTCACATGCAAACGGCCCCGCGCTGCTTTAATAATAACATGCACATTAGCTCAAAAACTAAGTGCCCGATTACGGCGCGGGGCTGCAGTTGAAACTCGGCTGATGAGATGATTTTAGCCCCGCACTGCATACAAATGGCTCCCTTTCGCTGCAGGATATAATGGGCGGAAAAGTTTTAATTGTCGTTTATATTCGTTGCGAAACTTGCCGGAAAAATTGTGCCAGGTGCAACACTTACGAGAGAAGCGCGATCAGGATGAAATTTACATTTTTATAGTTCTGTGCATTCAAAATCGCTTCCATAAAGGAGCCTTAATTGAATTAGTACAATTATTTTGCATATTAATTAAATTGAACCCCAGTGTATTAAATTTACTAAAATTTCAATCAAAAATCTATATCAAATGTATTTAATTTAACAACTGATATCTCATGACAAGAACCGAAGCATGCAAAAATTTTTTAAATTCAGATGATTTAAACTGGCAATGGAATTACAAATATATTTTAATTTTGCTTATGATTGTTTTTATAATTTTTGTAAATCAAAGTAAAAATATTTTAGCATATTATGCTTATAAACAATACATATATCAAAATTTACAAAAAATTTATAAATATAATTATATATTTTAAAAAGTAATTTAAGTATTGTTAAAAATAGCTTGTTATATCTTAATTTATTTATTTGTAAAAAAAAAAAAAAAATTTACATAATGAATTGCAGAAATATTGACATTTTTCAACATGAGCTGGGCGCTGCTGTTCTGGCTGAGTAGAAAGTACAGTTCAGTTGAGCTATTTCGGATTTAATTTTCTCTCTCTGGATATTCACGCCTCGAATGATAAATGGGTCTTTGGAGCTTTTGTTTATTTATTTATCTAGCGGCGGTGTAATATTGATACAGCACTGGCCCAGCCGTTTGGTGTCGTTTTATTTATTTTGCGCAACAGCCGTGCAGCGCTCGACTCGAAATCCGCTGCAGTGGATTTTGCCGGAGAGGACACATCAGTCAGCAGACTGCACGTGTTACTCGACGTGGAAATGGATAACGTTGGGTAATGCATCGAGTAAAATATGCAGCGGATCAGCGCTGTCGCCAAAATTAATTTGAGCCGCGGATTTTTGATATTCAGCAGCGGTATCGATTGCCGATTGGTTTCCAATTCGCTCTTTCGGGCGGTTTGTTTGCCGTCACGCAGGCTTTGATTAATGACAACGGGACGCGTTGTTTCTTGCCAGGGGTACCAGCATTTGTGTGGTAACAAATTATCGAAGTACCTGATGACATTCACTGCCAGAAAGTAATATCCGAACCTGTTTTTGTTGCCCCTTTGTTCGGTTGACGAACAGTTTTGTTGGGGTTTATTAATTGCTTTTTGTGTTGGCAAAAAGTAGTGGACACACCATATATCAATTTGTGGTTACGGAACTGGCTGACACTCCCCTTAGTGTTCATTTATGACGAAAATAATAATAATTATAATATTCAACGCAAATTTTTTATTAATGTGTTGATTCCATTGAGGTTTGCTTAAATGCTTACTTTAATTATCGACTAGCACTTACACTATTTCTATATTTTTTATTGCAAAATGTCATAATTTGTGCCCTTATTTATTTAAAAATTTGATTCCTGACCATTTAATATACAATTAATTTTATGGTTTTATTAATTTTCAGTTAAAAGCTTAAAAATAAATCCAAGACAAATCAACGATTGAGGTTAATCAAAAAGTCTAATATAGTCCAGGTTCCAGGCAAACTTCCACCGCCATGCAATGAATGTCGCGCTGAATTAGCCTGGGCCAGGCAGGGCTGCATAGAAAACCCTTCTATTAGTTTTATAAATAAAAAAAAGAGAAAGATTTATGTTTAAAAGAGATGATCTGGGCAAGAATTAAAAATAAGTGGAAATTTTTATGCATACAGCACATTTAATACTTCCTCTAATATAATATGTTTTAGCTCATTTTTGAAATAAGTAAAAATAATCTTAAATTTGAATTTGAATTAATTTTAAACTTTGAAATTTCTCGGACAACTCTGGTTGCGGGGGAATCGATTTAATTAGCCCGTTATGAGTTTGTTCACGAGTCGTGATGCCCCATCTCAAAGTTTCACCCTCTCAAGCTCACAAAGTGCAAATCAAATAATTCTCGCTCGTCTCGTTTGTTTGGCCAGTGGACACCTTCGGCGGCGACACTCTGCAACTGTTCAAGCTGGAGCGTCGGCAAATGGGCGCCTACTTGTGCATCGCCTCCAACGACGTCCCGCCGGCAGTCAGCAAGCGGATTACGCTCAATGTAAACTGTAAGTAGAGCAAACAACGTCCTATTTGCACACCCTCTCACATGTGTCTGCCGTCGATGCAAATTCTGTCTGTGCCTTTTTCGGCCAGAATTTTGCTCTGCAGACGCGCCCGCTTTGATCCCAGAGCTGACCAGTCGCCTGTAAATATGAATCTAACTGAAATTTGCCTCTCCCTGCGCAAACACGGCGTGATTAATTTTTGTTGGCCCGAAGTATAGAGTTCGCCTTTGATATCTAAAAAAGATGGGTCTCTAAGGGTTTGTGGGAGAGTAATTTCGGCTGAAAACGATGCTGTTTATTTGCTTTTTACAAATTAGTTTCTCTAACTGGAGTCTGTGCACATCTGTCTGGAAATTACCTTCCAGAAAATTTAATGTAGAAATAGATTATTATTATTATTGATTTTTTTGCACATTTGATTTCACATGAAAAATCAAGAAGTATTTAATAAAAATATGAATAAATTTTGTTTTGTGTTTTGTTGATTTTCTCTGTTTATTAAAAAACTATTGATGTAAAAGATTGACTTGGGATTTAGAACTTAAGATGAATTAAAAAAATTCTCTTTTCTGTAATTCAATCTATCTCAATTATAAAAAATTATATTTTGATTTGACAAGTGATGTTATATATGGAGAAAGAAAAATCGCAGGATGCAAGAGAAAAAATATGTATTTTCAATTAATTAATAATAAAAATAAGCTACTTTATTTTATTCTTTATATTCAAAATTTTGTTTAGGAAAATAAATAATTTTTTTCTGTTATTTAAAATAAATTACAAAAACAAAACTAAAAACAAAAATTTAAATTCTGTTTAAAAATACACAAGTTTTAATAGATATTAATATCAGAACAAGATGACTTTAAAATTTAAACATTTGCAACAAACCAACATTAAAATAAAATGCCTGAAACTTTTATCGACCTAACTTTTACGCATGTTCACATTAATCATTATTAGTTTGTTCCTTGCTGACCCACGTTCAAAGCCCTTCACCTTTGCACACTCAGCTATAATTTGATTTAATTAACTCGGAATCTGCAATTGCCTTTCAGTCGCTCCAGTAATCAAAGTGACTAACCAGCTGCTTGGGGCGCCCCTCGGCACAGATGTCAACCTCGATTGCTTCATCGAAGCCTTCCCCAACGCCATCAATTACTGGTCAAAGAACAGAGGCGAAATGCTGATGGACGGGTAAGTTCTCGCAATCAAAAGCCACCAACCGACGTCGAGCAGGAAAACTCGAGGCATCTCTCTCTCAGAAAAGTTGTTAAAACTTCTTTCGCTTGCATCGCCATTTGCAAGGGATATTTTTCAGCTCAAAAGCATTTTTACTTAATTCCAAAGGCAGACAAATGAAAGTAGAGCAGCTCGCAGAAATTCAAAACGAGCGTGCCTGCGCTTTTTTCATTTGCAAACTTCTCGCAAAAGAAAAAAATAAAGGAAAAGTACACGAGAGAAAGCCACAAAGCCGGCGAACGTTCTTGAGAACTGCGCAAATCCCTCTCCGCTCCTTTTTTCGTCTCCTTTTCGCTGCCAGTTCCACCTGCTCTCACTCGGAGATTGTGTATCTCGTTTTGTGCCCTCTGCTGCGGGGCCGTAAAGTTGGATGATTCAATTTCGCGTAATGAGCGAGTGACGCATTGTGTTTCGCAATTAAAATTTTAAGTGTGCTGCAAAAAGAGCCCCTTGTTTTCGTGCCGAGAGCACAAACCGAAATTGCACCGCTCGTCCGTCGTAAAGTCTGATTAATGAGGGGCGTAAAGTGTCGGACCGTCGAAAGCGTATAATACACCTGCCGAGCCAAACATCGTTATTTCGTGCGAACTCGGAGCCACCTAACTTTACGATGAAAACTCTTGACCCCAATTTCCATTGAAAAGTCTTATCTTTTGAATGCAGTAGTTGCAAATTCTCCGAACCTGTAGATGTAAATTTAATTGAAATTAAAAAAAAAATCTAAATTTTTCGAGTTTTGTAAGTTTTTAATTTGCAGCTACGTGATTACAATCCAAGTTTGAAATAAAAGCCTAATTTGACGTAAAAAATTTCATATTGATTTCATCCCTCAATTTAATTTAAAAATATACAGTACCAGTGCCAAATAAATTATTCCAAAAATTTTTGAGCTCCTTTTCTCGTTCCCCTTTTTCCAAAGTACATACTTGCACACTTTATTCAAATTAGGCGATAGTGGGCCCCTCGCTAGACGGTCCCGTCGGGAACCGATGGTCGAGGGAGGACGGGGGCAGCTCTATTCGTGCAAGATTAACCCTTGCGCGTCGACCGGGGGTTGTAAAATGCATTCCGGCCGGGGATATTCACACCCTGACAAGAAAATCTCTCTCCCACACCATGCAATTTAAAAAGCGGCGGTGCGGCGAGATGAGAGCCGTAGGAGCTTTTCGCGCAGCACGCGCGCCACTTGAAATATTAAATGAGTTTTCACCTTGACGGCTTGTCTGCTGCAATTCCGACTCGGATCATTTGCCAATAAGGCGAAAACTTTTCCACGGCATCACAGAGGCAGAATTCAGAGAAGTGAACTGTGGTATGGATTTGACGCTTGCTGGTTAGAAACCCCTGGTGAGATGCTGACGCCAGATCGCGTTTCAATTGAATGCATACCTCTGTCAGAACTGATGAGATTTTTGACATGCGTTTGCAGTAAATTTATAAAAGTAAACGAAAAATCATCTTACAAATGTTCCATGATATCAGATTTTTTTTCTTACAATTTGGTTAAAAAAATTGCTATGAGTAAATTTGTAAGATCATTATTATGTGGCCCTTAAATATTTTTTCCCTTCCTGAAAGATGACATAAGAATAAAAATAAATATCTTGGATAATTTATTCATATTGTGCTTTAAATGAGAAATTCATTATAATTTTTATATTTTCAGGCATTATAGTGAAAAATAGGCATGAGATTTGTATTTAATTTGTATTTAATCCTCGGGAAAAAGAGCAGAGCACAAAAAAATTGTGTGTCAGTACTTTTTAATTAATTAGTCCCGATTTTATTTTACAGTCAAATATCGCAATTAATAAATTTAGTGTAATTTTTATATCTTCAGTAGTTGAAGTAAAACAAGTTCCATATTGAAGTTGCTCCCCGTGGACAAATCAAAGCAAAAACTTCAAAAGAACACTTCAAACTCAAACTGCTTTTAATCTACAAACAGAGCGGAGCTTTTGAAGGCGAGAAAAGTGTTTGCTCAGCGCACATCAGTGAAAAACCAACTGCAATGTTTTATTAGAAAACAGCTTCGATCTGCACCGTTGAAACCAATACTGACGGCGGCTGGTCTAATTTTCTGTTTGCATTATTACTATGGGATTATCAAGGGAATGGATAATGAGAGCCGCCGGAATAACACACAGACTCAAAGCTACTTATTCCGATTTTTTCCTCACCGTTATTATAATCGAAGTTGATGGAAAAAAGCGAGACTCTTTTATCACCGCTGCTGCATGATAATTGCTTGTTACATTATTCAAAAAATGAAAACGGCGGAAAGTAGGTTACGTTGCGCCTGCTTTAATAAATGAAAATATACATATCCTGCAAGCAGCTCTATATTGATTGGTGGATTGCAGAGTCGCATATAATGCATTGAGGCTTTTCCTTATTATCCGGTTTGCTGCTGCGGAAAATCATACGCCTCGTCGACTTTTCTTATTACACTTGTCGGTGATGTTGATAGAAAAGGCGTTTTTACTTCTAAGCATACAATTTACCTATTCTTTGATTGAATCTGACTGTGATTGATTTCAAAAGATTCATTGTCGTATGTTTCCATTTGCAAATAATAGAAGATTCCAATCAAATGGATCAAAAGTTTCATCCTAAGGATGATTTAACTTTTTATCCAGAAAACAAGAAAGCCGTTTATAATAATAAAATTTTTTCCCTTCATGTATTTGTATGTATAATGGCAGTTATGGCAGTAGAAATTATTTGAAAAAAAAAAAAATAAACAATTGTCCTTTCATATGTTGAAAATTACCAACTGTAAAATAGTTTTGACAAAAATTATTTCAAAAATTAATCTTTTAAAAATATTTTTCTTTCAAATTAACACATTTTTGTGAAAAATTATATAAATTTACATATTGACACAAAGCAATTTTTTAAACAAAATTGAACAATTGAATTCAAAATTTTTAAGAGTTATCGATTATTGGTTTGATTATAAGATAAGCATTTTGTAAAGTCTATCAATTGTAAATTTCCAATTAGTTGACATTGCATTTAGCCATTTACTGATAATTTATTTTTTATAATATAACACTGTATTTTCATTAATTTCAATTATAAATGCATCAAAAAGTAATAAGCGAGCGCTATTTTCCGAGCTCCGGTGCACGTGCGTGTGTGCCACCCTTGCAAGCAAAGAGGCGATTAAAATTTCGCGGCACCGCGTCGAAATCACTTTGCAGCAATTATCTCGCAATGGCCCCGTGCTCGCAGCTCACTTACCATTAATTAAGTAAACCATAACTTAAATTCGACCGCCGGGCCATTACCAATGGGGCCGCGCTTCATTTAGTCGCGCGTAAATGGTAATTGCATTTCGTGTGTGCGCCGCGCGTCAGACATAAATTTTGCGGATTAAATTATTTAGCCGCACACGGCACATGCCACGCCGCTGAATTTATTATAGTCGCTCTCGGAAAAGGCAATTCGCACTTTGCCACACATGCAGTTAATGTTGCGTGTTCGGATCCTGCGGGAGACTCAAACCTATCCCCCGAATTTGTGCACAAGGTCGTTTATTCAATGGATGAAATGGAATGCTATTTTTATTTGTATTTTTTTATTGGTTTTTGCTTGATGATGTTTGAAAATTTACAAAGATGAGTGTAAAAATAAAGGGTTAACAAGAGGAGGGTGAAATGTTATTGTTTGAAATTTTTGTATTTAATTAATTTGAATCTTATTTAATTATTTCTTTAATTCTCTGCTCTGTAGTATGATACAAAGACGAATTGGAACAGAAGTCCTATTGGTAATCGTAGCCTAAATCAGCCAAAATATTACAAATTTAATGTAAGGATAGGGGAAAGTAAATTTTAAGTTATCCAAGAAGTTCTCATTTGATGTAAAAAGCTTGCATGTCCATCCACTACTTACTTAGCTAGATTCAGAAGCAGGAATATATTGATTAATTGTCATAATATTAATAAAGTGCTATTTTAAGAAAGGAGATATGCAACTTGCTTCACACAGTTGTATTGCACGTTGAATAACCAGAGCACTTATTTCAAAGCTAGTAGCTCGCATTTATTATTAAGCTATTTTGCAGCAATAACTAGTTAGTTTTGCTACACATTTATGAAATTTAGTACGATTTTGCTATATAAAATATATATAAAAGATAATTTAAAATTTTATGATGAAGTTAGAAATAATTTTGATTTAATTGTTAATCTGCCAGCGTTATACTTTTACTGTATGTAAAATTCATGGCCGAAATAATACAGTTATTGATTTCTGTTCATATTTTATAATTATTTTATTACTTTCAGTTTTTCATTCTTTGCATTACAATAAAAATTCCCCCCTCCCCTTAGGCTCGAAAAGCCTATTATCCAACCAAATGGAAACCAATACAAATTAGAATTTGGGAGAATGGTTCAATGCGTATAATGAGCGGATTTCGTTTGCGACACGAATCGTGCAACCGCATTAATTTGTCTCGATCGGACGCCATGCCGAGTGAGTTTCACTCGATATACTGCAGGATTTGTTTCCAATAAAAATGATAAATCCGGCTCGCCACCCACTGCGTCGCGATAAGCCCTCGCTTTTAATGAAAACTGTCAATTTTTTCTTCTTCCATTCCATTTTTTTTTTCTCGATTGGGACCAATTCCACTTCCGAATATTATGGATTTTGGCCCGCGAGAAAAGTGGAACCGAAAGAACGGAAATTGCTTTGGGAACAGAAACAAAGGAGGAAAATGAAAGGCTTATAAATTTTATATCTCAGCACGGACAAATCAAATCTTTTTCTTCTCTCCGCGTCTTCCAGTTGACCAGCCCAAATCAATACGGCTGCTGATATGTTTGTTTGCCTGCGAAAAGAGGCCGCGATTATATGAAATAAAAGGCATCCAATGATCGGTTCCGACTCGTTGATCTGCACAGGCAGAAAAAGATTGCGCTCTGTTTGTGCGCGCAACCTTTTTTTATTTCATTGCGCCCAGGGCAGTGACAAATTAACCGTGCTTTTTTATCAGAGGCTTTTGTTTTGTCGCCGCATCCTTTTCCTATATAATTCCGCCACATGAACAAAAGCATTCTGTCACAGTCTGCTTATCCGGGATGATTATGAGCTGATTGTTATTGATTTGAGTTTGCCATAAATGTCAATTGGAGTTTATTGAGTTTATTAAGCCAGGAGCAGTTTATACGAATAAAAATGCTTGCTCATCATTCATTATAAAAATACTTTTATTGTAGGCTCTAGAGTCACAGACGAGATTGAGCGGGGGAAAATAAATGCTTTTCTTTTTCTCGAGAGCACTTTCAGCCAATTTATAGAAACTCACTTCATTTGATAAAATATTAATTCTCAAAAGGTGCTTTTTTTAAATTAATTAAAATTCAGAGTACCAAAGTAATCTATAATAATTACCAAATAGGGATGGTAATAAAAATAGATTACTTTTTAGTTTTTAACGTTTCATATTTTTCTCAAAAGTTACTGAGCCCAATGATCCCTTTTTAAGTTAGAATTAAGCAGCCATTTAACCTACATCTGTATAAAAACAGCCTATTTACAACAACAAACTTTCTCATTAAAAGCCTTATTTCAGATCAAAATGGCTAATTATAACCACACTTATAAATTTAGATGCACAAATAATCACCCATTCGGGTTTTTTCTTCAATTGAACGATCACATATTTGTCACTCATCTTGCGTCTTCCGGTCCTCTTTCTCGAAGAAAAACAACTCGCATTAATGACTAATTGGTGAGCATTTTAATACAATTACCAGATTCTGACTTTGTTTATCACTGCCCTTTCTTGGGTAGCCACCCGTCGGTGTTGTGCTGGAAAAAAGTAGGCAAACCCGGCGTCTTTTTATTGTGTGTAAATACGGCGGGGATAAAACGCATCGCGAGCGGAGCGCGGCGGCGGCGGCGGACGTGAGCTGGAAGTGCAAAAGTGCGACTTGCTCGTCAGTCAGTCTTGGCAAGCCCTTTTTTCGCTCTTTGTGTTTGTGTTTGGACGCGGCGGCGTTGGCGGCGGCGGTGCCAAGAATAGCGAACCGAGTTAAACCAACTTTCCTCCTTGATTTTTCCTGCCCGCTTGTCCGTCCGATTTCCAGCACCGACTGCCACTTTTACCCCTTTTAGTTCCACTCGGCTTCGTGTATAATTGTATTTTTCTTCCTCTCCGCCCGTCGGCTCGAGAGCGAAAAATTATCTCTGCTTTGCACTCGTCACGGATATTTAATTCTGCTGCTTCTCTGCCTGGAATAATATCCGCCACCGTCCTTCATTTTGCTCTTTCTTCTCTCTTGTCTTTGGAATATATAAATTATTCTCATTACATTTCGCACCGGCAGTTCTTTTGTTCAGACCTACTCACCGTGCAAAAAATTATTATGCAATTTTCAACTGCGACGCCACTGAATTTTTGCCGTTCTTCCTCAACAGAAGGAAAAAGAAATTCACTCATGTTAATAATTCAATTTTCTCTGACTTTTGAATTCCAAATTAAATCGGAATAGAATAATTGTAGCAAGCTTCTTTTTCTAATTTGACACTTTTATATGAATTTATGCATATTTTCCATTTTTCTGTTCTAGGAAGAGATATGTTGTGGACGAAATTAAGAAATCTTATACTATTCACTTCAAGCTGACCATCAGGAACTTCAGTAAAAGGGATATTGGCACCTACACTTGTGTGTCCACCAACTCAATGGGAAAGGCTGAGGGGACTATTCGATTATACGGTAGGATTGATAACCATTATAGTCAACTATATATATTCCATTCAAAACCACCACTTTAAATCTGTTCTATATTTAAAAAAGTTATTTAATTACTATTCATGTAATATATAAATTTTGTATTGGATATTTTTCTTCCATAATATAATATGTATTTATAAATACACCAAATTTTCTGTATTTGTGCTTTAAATTTATTTTATTAAATACATTTGACCATTTGTTGTAAATACTAAAATTCTTACTATTTGTAATGAAAAATATCAAATAAAATATAAATTATCAAGGAATTTACAAAGCATAAATGTTATATAGCCATCTCTGGGGAAGTCAAAGTGGATAAAAGTTAATTCTGGTGGAGATAATTTTGGTATACAATTGATTCCAAATATATTATCATGTAAAAATAAAATTCCTGCATCAGCCGTCAAAGCCCATTAAGAAAAATCGTCCATTCGTAAATTAATATAAAACGTTTTCAATAAGAATCAAAATGCCTGTGATTGCTGCAGTAAAATTTTTGTGATTTTCTTACCTACAGTGATATTTCAACCAAGATGATAAAATTTAATTGCATACAATATGTGGTGGTTCGTTTTTTCCCCTTTTTTTTGACTTGGATTGTTTTAGCAGATGTTTTCAGTTTTATCAAAATCTCTTTGCAATGATTTACAGTAGTTTCAAAAATAATAATCAATGTTTTTCCAGAAATCAAAGTGCCGACGCGACCACCCGTAATTACGACCGAGCCTCCAGTCATTACAACGCCAAGTAAGTATAGGAATCTGAGCACGGGTTTGCTGCTTGAAAATGAAAGCGGGATTAATTAATTATCAATGCCTATGGTTTCAGCGACGACCACGCCCCAGCCAACAACGAGCACCACCACACGCCGGCCGACGAGGGCACCCAAGATCAAAGAGATCTACTACCTTGCCACCACGTTTGGTAACTATTGCGACCGAATAATAATGGTCAATTTTTAGTTCTTTGTGCCACAAAAAAAGTTGATTTAGAAAAGCGCAACTCTTTTTATCAAACATTGAGTTAACATATTAAATTTAAAAATATTTATAAAACGAAATCTGATTCTAAGAAATAAAAACAGAGACCTTTTTGCTCAAATCAAAATTAGTTTTGAAAAAGAAATATTTCCACAATAGCTGCCACCAGCACAGCATATCTGTTGAGCAGGTTGCATACATGTGAGGAGGTTCAAGTTGATTAAAAAATAATAAAGATATTTTTTTAGAAGAGAGGAAATAATCAAGATAAATTGGATAAATTAAATAACATTGTTAAGGTCTTCTTAAAATTAAATGAAATTAAAAGAGTTTTCCTTGTCATGAGTTTGTTATTTTTATGTGTAAATAATTAGAGAATTTAGGATAAATTGTTTTGCGAAGATGAAATTCAAATGTCAAAATAAAGTTGATCCAATCAATTTTTAACAAGGAAATAAAATTGATAATAAAAAGTTTAAGAAATAAATTATTTTCCTTTTGCTGTATTACATTTTAACAGCTCAAATTTTTGAGAAAGGCAAATATATTGTATTTTATTTTTTTGCTCTTTCCTGATATCTTTTAAAATTAAAATCTTTAATAATTCCGTCTCATTTTGATTACTACATCAGAAATTCGCTTTCAAATTACGAAAATTTTTTTATTAATAGCATTTCCTTTTTATTATATGCCTTTTCGTCGTAGCACATTCATCAATTAGCTTTTACGCATATTTTATTCCTAATTAATTTCCACGCTTGGAAAGATGAGTTGAAACAATTTGTTCCCATCACATGGTAACGCAGGAAGCCGAAAATTAATTACCCTCCTCTGCATGAATAATCTTCGTCTTAAGGACGCAAATCCAACCTGTTGTCATTGTCGTCAAGTGAGGAGAGACTGATTGGTTTTTCAGCGCCTCCGCTTTTGGCTCACGAGGCCGAGGTGCTGCTCGGGCGCGACGCCAAAGACGTGACCGCCGACGCGAGCAGGGCTGCGGCGCACAGGGTGGCGGCCACGTGTCCATCCCTTCTCTTCGCCCTCGTCGTCGTGATGATGTTGTTAATGAGTGCGGCCGCGAGATGACATTGTGAAAAGTAACGAGACTGACGCGCAAGAGAAGATGAAAGAGAGAAAGAAAGAAAAGTGATTTACCTCAAAAAAATAAATAAATTTCAAATAGCAAAAGTGAGAAAGAGAGTGCAACGTGGAAACTGTCACAAACTTGTTGGTTAATTGTAACGAAAAAATAAAATTACACGCAGAATAACGGTGGAAATTATGCGGATGATGCTCATTCCGATTTTTGTCTCAATTTTTTTATTGGTGCCAAAATGTTGCGTGCGAGATTCAAGATGAGGAATTGTCGTGTTTCTAGATTCTGTGCAGATTTCTGTTCCATTTCAGAAGTTTCAAAACTCAAAACATATCTCAAGGCTATATCCAAATTCATTAAACGTTAAGACACACTCAGCTATCAAAGTAGAAACGCATTTAAGAGAATTTTTAAAATCATGCAGAAAATTATTTCTTTGGGAGACAACGAACGTTTCTATAAAACCTCTATTAATATGCAATGTACATACATAATCAAAATAACTAGATGTTAATAAAAACACACACTTTTGCCAGTGGAATCCAAGGAAGTAATTTTCGCGATTGGATGAAAATAAATAATTATTTTTTGCCTGCTTCTTTCAAGGTGCTGCTGATTTTGCAACCACTACTAATTTATTGAGTGCTGTTTTTGTTAAAGACTGTGATGTAATGATAAACATGAGAATCTATAATTGATTAAGAAACTAAATTAAATTGGGAATAAATGAACCATTCAATGTGTTACTTTGCAGAGATGACATTTCATTTTTTGTGGGTTGAAAATTGATAACATGAACAACTGTAAAATATTTTCTTTGGTTGTTTTAAACGTGCTGTAGACAAACATACAAACAAATAATGATGATTTTTCAAACCTCAACTAGTCCCAAATGGAATTAAATTGTTGTGTATTTTATAAAAATGCTGCAGGTTGTGAATAAATGGAGCGAACAATATGATTGTGAGTTTAATTAGTTTTACCGCAACTTAATTTCTATTTAAAAATTTTTAATCTTTAAAAATGATTTCATTAGGGTTTTATCTATTTTGAATTTCGAAACTGATAAACAAAAAAAAAAAACATGGTGAAAGCGTAAGAAAGACTTGCGTGTTAAGGCTATGCAAGGGGTTGATAGTAGGGGCGAGTTAACTATTTGCTATTGCCTATTTTGCACTGAGCCTGTTAATGGGATGAGATGCTGTCATCATTAATTCAGGAATTTTGGTAGCTACGAGGCAGCTCAGCTCAGGTAAACGTTTCTAAATTGTTGTTAGCACGGAAAATGGCAAGAAATTTATCACTCCCTTGCTGTCCAATCAAACTGAATGGTATCTTTGAAACATCTGGTAAACATTGAAATTTTTAGCAAAATTTTAAATTTTTATTTTACTTACTTAAATTTTAAAAATATTAAACGAAAAATGTAAATAGATTTTAATACAGTTTTTTGCTAAAAAAAAATGTAATGATTATTTTTTTCAATAAATTTTTTTTTATTCAATATTTAATAAATTTATTTTACATTTTGATCAATTTTTATTTCTTTTCTATAATTTTAAGCAATCTAATATTTTATTTTAAATAAAAATTATTAAAATCTTCTCTATTTTGCTCATAAATAATCTTGTTGGTTAAAGTTATGTCAAGTCGCTCCTTTTTCCTATCATTTCTATTACTTTGAAGTGCACAAGCGGCTTCTTAGAGAAAGAACTCCTCATCTCATATTCGATAGTGAATTATTCAGACGAGCAGAGCCAATTTTTTGTATCACTCGATCCGAGTACATGTAGTGAAGAACAGTTGCGAACTTTTTACAGATTTATCTCTAGTGGGAGGCAAGGGTCGTTGCCTCCAATGTGAGCATCGCAAAAACAAGATCATGCAGGGCGTGGTGGACCAGATTGTCACTCCAAATACAGTTAAAGAGTGATAAGTTGCCATAATGCCAAATTCGCTCTGCAAAACTGGTTCCAGTTCGCAAAAAGCCCCCAGTCAAAAGTTAAATATATATTTTTTTACAAACCCGTTTTGATAGTCAATTGAATATCAAAACAAGTACTTGGAACATAACGGCATAAAAAAGCTATGGTTTTTTTAATTGATGTGCGAGTTAGTTTGCACATTGAAAAGTAGAAAAATTAGAGTATTTTAAACTACTTTTATTTTTGAAGTTTCTTAACATTAAATTAAAATCGAATTCAGTTGCAGAATATTTAGAAACATTTTATCAAAAGATTCAGCAGAAACACCAAAATGTAATTATTTTGTACCTTTTCTTTTATTTCTGTATGTATTTTATTTTATTTAAATTAATTTAAATAACCTCAGTTTATTTAAAAAAAAATATTTCATCGACTAAAATGTATCAAAATTAGTGTTTGTGAATATTTTGGCGAAATTTTCCTCGTTCATGTCATTCGCCTGAAAATATCAATTTGCAAACATGAAGAGAGTGGTCGGTTGCAGAGAAGCCGCTGAATAGGGGCCTAATGGGTGCGGAGAAACAAGAGGAGTTAACGAGAGAACACATCAAGCCAGAAAGCAAGCGGCCGGCACTTTTATCAAGTGAATGACGAGCGAGCATCCTCCTCTCTTTGGGCAGCCGCAAAGAATTACCAGTAATCAGCCTTTTTAATCAGCGCAAACAGTCAAACGGCTCTCTTTGCCAAGTCAAAGTTCAAACAACGCAGCCTCCAGAGTGCGCGGCGTTTGTACTTAAAAAGACCGCTCTTTGATCAGGGTGCAACTAATTAACGCCACGATTTTGTGTGTGCTTTTGAATATGGGAATTTTGAATCCCTTTAATGTTATAAATATTTCAAATTTGTAGAACTCTCAAACTCAAGCACATGAAAATAAGATATTTAGTATTCAAATTTATTCATATTTTTATAGACGAAACAATAAGACTGAAACGTCCATTTGTCAGAAAAAAATGGATATATGATGATTATGATAAATCTAATCACCCTTCATGAATAATAAGGCAAAGAAAAGTTGACGGCTCTTGCAGGCATGTGTAGGCATCTCATAACATAAGAAAGATATTTTAAATAATTATATTTACTATTATTAAAACTCAATATAAAAGATCACCAAGATTACTTTGTTTAATTTTTTTTTAAATAATGTTGGCATAATATTTGATTAGTAACTATATTAAAATTTATCAATTACTTTTAATTTAATAACACAAGAAATAAATTAATTAAGAACAATCCAAAAATTATTTTAACTGTGGAAAATTTATTTAAAAAACAATAATTTTATTGCAATGAAATTTTTGTAGACCTCAGATAAAATTTAGCAACAAAATTTGAACTTGTGCTCTCTCTGTGGACCGCTAAAAGCACTAACTTGGCTTGCTACAAACCTATTGATTTTCCAACCCTTGGAAAGAGCAGCACAACTTGACGGATGCTGCGATCTGGGAGCGCCGGCGCTAAGCTCAAACTGCAATAAATTTTTCCATTTTTTTCTGCTTACACAAAGACGCTGTTTTTAAATAATAAGCATTGAAAAAATATTGCAATTATTTAGTCTAGCCAAAATTGGATCAATATTTTTAATATAAATATCAATTAAGTAGCATTTATTTTTCAAAGTATCTCTAGGAAGATAAAACTTATATCTGGTCATAAAACTCCAATCCTGTGCTCGAATTACGGCAGTAAATAATTCGCCACGCTACAAAGTTTACAGGCGAATGACTTACAATTAGCAGAACCACACAGGTAATAAAGAGGAATTCCGATCTCAGGGCATTACATACACTCGAGTTGCTTACATAACGTGCTGAATATAATTATCCGACGCGTACCGAGGCCATTGCAGGCAAAGGAGATTTTTCGTCGGGAGTTGATGTGCCGTAAAAAAATAAAGTGCAAAATTATATAATACGGTCGGGCAAAAACGAGGAGAGAAGAGGATGAGCACGTCTTTGTTGTGTGCGAAGGTGAAGGAAGGGTACGCATGCTGTTGCCAGGCAGGCAGATGCGCCTCCAAAGGTACCTTGGTAACAGAGAAAGAGCCGAGCGCAGCCTCTGCAAGATAAATCACCTCCACCACCAACCGCCGCGGGAGAGTGGCCAAAATTTTTAGACGAGCTTTTTCCTTATCATCGAAAGTTCGCGAATTTTTACACTAAATATTGTCGTCAGATAAACACAAGCATTAAAAGGAATTTGTATACAGATAATTCAATCATGAATCAGTCAACGTTGCTGTTTTATCTTGTCATACCAATGAATAATTTTAAAGATTTCATATATTTAAAAATATTATATTATTACAGCAGTATACATAGCAATTTTTCAAGTAATTGGAAATTATTTGTTAATCAACAACCTTTAAAAATGGTTGCAGACAATTACCAAATTTATTAAAAAAAATACCAAATCAAAATTATAAAAAAAAATAATTTTATATTCTGCTCTTGAGAAAATTAGAAAAAAATTAAAAATTATTTATTTTAACTTTAAATTTTATACATTATTTAAAAGAAAGAGTTAAGAAAAAAAATTAAATAAACTTTAAATTTTACTAATATTTTTAAATTCAAGAAGTAGTATTTTTTAGTTGATTTCTTTCTTTTTGATTTTGAATAAATAACTACTTTTTCTGATATTAAAAGAATTTAAAAACAAAGAAACTATAAGATCATTGCATATCTGCTTAGAACTGTCTGGAAATAGTTGCTCAGTTACAATTAAAAAAATCCATGAAAATGAAGATAATTTAAATATTTTTATGGCTTCAGAAATAAAAATTAACAAAGAGTCTTTCATGGCATTTTCTGGGCACTGCCCCTTTTCGCAGCGTCAGTCATAAACATTTTGCACGACCGTATAGTGCTCTCGTGTATCGGGATTTGCAGAGAGCAGCGTGAGATGCAGAAAGAAGATAAAAATTGTTTGCAGAGCGAATATTATTCGCACGGTCATCGCACTCTTACCCTTTAAATGCCCCTCGCCCGAAAATCATGATGTTCTGCGCAGCATGATTTATTCTCAGGCAATAATAATATTTAAGCACGAGAGATGCATTAAGACCGGCATTCAATTTTTTGTTCTCATAACGTGCGCCGCAGGCAACATGAGAAACTACAAGCATAATTATCTTTTTTTCTAGAGCATTCTGTTAAAAGCGGCAAATGCAATTTTTTGTTTTGTAAATTTATTTTAAATATTTAAAAATAATTTATCTCCACAAATTTAATATTAACATTAGGTTTTATTTTTATGTTTATAGTGAATAAGTGATAAAAAAACATTTTTAAATGATTTATCATTAAATAAATTTGTGTTCATTTTTTATCTATTGCAATCCTACATTAAATTTTTAATTAAAACAAAAATCTACATTTTTTGTGTTAAAAGTTATCCCGCATTTACAGTAAGGTATTAAAGTTAAAATTCAATTTGGATGACATATGCAATTTTTTTAATCTATCTGGTCTCTAGTCTAGTAATATTTTGTTAATCATACCCATTAATTACCTGCTTTGAATGATCTTATCAAAACATAAATGGAAAAATTTATAATACACATTATACTTATATTTCAAACTGGGAAATGAAAAAAAAACACTAAGCAAGAGTTTGTCACTCTGAAAAAAGAGGTAGAAAATTAGATGAACATGCTATTAATTGATATTCCTGTAAATTAAATTAAAACATCTAATCATCTTTAATCTCACAATCAGTGTTCCAAAAGAAATATGAAAAAACTGTGAGGAGTCCAAAAATATACTCTTAAAAAATTCAAATTAATATTCGTTAATTTTTGTGCAGCATTTAAGCAGAGATAACAGCGGAGGCTTGTCAGCAGATGATGTTACCTGAAAAATGATTCGGCGATTCCCTGTCAGGTCCTCCCACCTGGCCCGTTGCTATAGTGTGTGCTCTCGTCCAAGGTCAATGCCAAAAGGTGCTCACGGTGCGAAGCCGGTTCTCCTGGCGTGCGCTCCTGGTGTATAAAAGGACCGGCTCTCCAGTGTCTCGTCCCACATCAGGCCAAACAGTCCATCAGCTACCATGAATCGCTACATCTTTGCCCTCGCCGCCCTCCTGGCCGTCGCCGCCGCCGACCACCACCAGAAGAAGTGCCCCTGGGTCACTGGCAAGTACCCCTTCGACGAGTCTAAGGTGAGAAAATTTGAGAAAATATTATTAACTATATACGATTTTAATTTTATGTTGGTATCAAACATAATTATTTTGAATTTGAATTTGAAAATAAGTTGAATCTTATTAAGTTTGATAAAGTTTTAAAAAGATTAATTTGATTAATCAATTTTTTTTATTCAACATTCGATAACTATTATTTTTCTTTTCTGGGTAATTAAATTTCAATGTAAATTATTCCCTCCTCCCAAATCGAACTGTCAACATAGGAAATTTACTTTCTTTGCAAATTAAAATCGGAGACGGCGCGCGTAATTTTGTTATTTATCTCTTTCTCTCGCGATTCTCATTGAAATCAGTAGAAGCGAGGGAGCGAGATTGTATTTATGCAACGCGTCCGATGCGCCTCCTGAATGAAAATGAGGCCGTTTTCCGTTCTCATCGCACCAGCCGAGCGGAATATCTTTCCACGCTCTTCTTTTTACGTGCCCGGTTTCGCTAATTCGCACGCACATTTCGCTGTCCGATTTATCCGCCGAGCTCGGTCTGTGTTTCTATAGAGTGTCATTTGAATTATTGATTTTGGGCGTCACGCACTCGCACTATATACCCGCGGTGTAATTGCACGCTCGCCCCTTAATGGAGTAGTCAATCAATTATCGCTCCATGCCCGGCTCTTAGGCAGCCGATTATGCAGCACGGTTAGTGTGCCTGTCAATCAAAAACGCCAACAGGCCGATGATTAGTGCTGCAAACTATATACGCCGGTCGAAAACTACTTGAAAGTCAAGAGCCGTTTTATTGAGAGATATAAACCTGTTATTATTATTTTCATAATTTTATTATTTGCCCGTTAAAACTTCAATAATTGAACACTTATCTCTTAATAAAAACGTGATTTTTTTTGTAACATTTTAATTGTTGGTAATTTTTTTTCCAAATAAATTGTTGAAATAAAATAAGATTTATTTGCGCACTCCTTTTTTTAACCCTTTTTACGAAATATTATTGCGATTTGCGCCATTAGATCAGTAGCCGATTGAATGGAAAAGCAATCGCACAGCTTTTCTTCTTTGCCGCACGCACGCAGCTTAAGAGCAATCATCATTATTTTTCTGTCTGTGTTTTGCAGTTCGCCGGTGACTGGAACGTTATTGCCTACGTGCCCAACCCCAACTTCGGTGAGAAGAAGTGCACCAAGTTGAGCGTGGCCGCCTTCAAGGGCGAAGCTGGCACCACCCTGAACTACAAGTTCAACTACTTCCAGGACGGCAAGGCCAAGATTGGTGAGATGATCAGCTACCTGAAGGGCGACAAGGGAGCCATGTCCTATTCCACCTACAAGAAGGAGGAGACCAGCAAGTTCTCTCGTCAGTAGAATTTGATCATTTTGCGTTGCTCGTAATGCTCGCGAAAAGTTGTTTTAAATTTTCTATTCCACTTTTGAGCTTAACACAAATTTTTATTTGTTTTAAAGAACTATCAAAATTATTTCAATATATCATGAATCAATTTGCCATGAAAATTTTTTAACCAAAGTAACGATGTTTTGAATCGTTTTTAATTGATTTTATTTTTTTCCATTTTAGCCGTCTTCAAGCAGGCCATCGTCGCCACCGACTATGACAGCTACGCCGTCTGCGTCACCTGCAGGCCCACCTTCAATGAGGAGACCAAGGAGTTCAGCCGCGACCTGTACGCCGTCATCCTCGCCCGTTCCGCCACCCTGCCCGAGGATAAGCTGAAGACCCTGAAGAGCATCCTCACCAGCTACGACATTGAATACGACAGCATCAAGCTGATGGACCACACCAACTGCTAAAAATTTAAACCTATGACGACCTCTGCTGTGCCACACGGACTGATGAAGCATTTAATCCTAGATTTTGTAGCTTTTCATGCAACTGAAACATCTTTTGACAAACGCAATTTTGAAAACGAAGCAAACTGACCTGAATGTGAGAATTTTTATAATAAAAATGAAGAAAACCCCAAAAAAATCAAATGCAATTTTTTATTATGGTCTTTATATGCAGCAACCATTCCTACACGGTTTCTTTATAAAAAAATATAATAAATTTTAAAAATGAGATCTTTAATTAAAGTATAATTCTTTAATGAATATTTTTTTCTATCTCTAAAAAGTTGTGCTCAAATTCAGACATAATAAATATTTTTATATATTTTTCTTTTCCAGTTGAAAAGTCCATTAAAATGGCACAAACAAGGAAGAAAATATTAATTTATGATAAATTAATTTATTAATTTATGGAAGATCAATAAGAGGTAAAAAAAAACATTCAGACACAATAAATTACTTTATATTCTTCATTGCTAGTTGAAAAGTCTGTTTAATTATATGACACAGACAAGGAAGGAAACATTAATTTACAAGATATAAATTAATCTAAGGAAAATCGATAAGAAGTAAAAAAAAACGAGCTAAATATATGATTTTCCAATAATACAATTGCAAAAAGCATGATTGGTGTGCAATTTTATCTGAAAAGCAAAATAAAAAAAAGAACAGCGAAATTTTTGTTCTTGGAGTGCCGATAGTTTCTCTGTGTCAAAGCAATAGACTCACTCGGACGAAGTGCAATGATTTATGAACAATTAGCTTAAGTGCTATATTATTTGAGTGAATATAAAATACTAATTTTTTATCTAGTTTTGTATGTATGGTATATTATAATGCAAGCTATATTTTGCTGTACAAGCATAAATTGTGATTTCTGTTGTTGCAAGATACCTTTTTGGGTAAGATTTTTTTGTGATAGAGGTCAAGTTGATTATATTTGTGTAAATAAAATTCAGTGTTATAATTATTTAGTTTTGTAGTTACTGAGAAATGATCTTGATCATGTTACGTGTACAGATGATTTCTTTTTTGGGGTCGCTTATGAATCTTTTAAATACATCAAAATATTAATGATTAATTGGAAGCTTTGTTTGAATATTTTTTACTCATTTATATTCTTGCGTATTTAGTTTCAAGCACATATTTTCCTAATTGTCGGTGCTAAAAAATTTAATTAATAAACTAGCCATTCATGTTCTAGATCTGCTCTGGATAAGTAATTAAATTTTTGAAATAAAAAAGTAAGATCAACGTTCTAGGTTGACCCTATAATGAGGAAAAATTATTAGAATTTGCTTGTCACTTCTGCAGATAAGCCGTCATCGCAAATAACTGGAGGCTCTGCAGGTGGGTGCACTTCTTCAGGGTCACTGCGCTCAGAATAAAATTCGCATCTATTTCTCGAATAACGTGGCCAATGTTCTGCCCCTCTGCGGTCAGCACCTAGATATATAAAGTTCGGCAAGCAAAGATCTTCCATTCGATCGCGCTTTGTTGCGGAGAGAGTGACAGACTCGAAAATAATGAAATTCCTGGTGATCCTTTTTTGCGTGCTGGCCGTTGTGGCTGCTGGAAAAAACGAGAAGAGAGGATTCGTGAAGAAATGTCCCAAGGTTTTTGGAAAGACTCCGTTTGACGCAGAGAAGGTATAATATGAACTTTATAAAATTCAAATTTGAAAATAAAGAATTATTTTAAATTTACTGCTTATCAAGTGAAAGGTTTATGATTTTAATTAAAATCCTTTTTCTTTTGCAAACCTTCCTTACGCTCAGAAACTTCTTATCTGATTTCAAGATCTTTATACACTTTGTGCGTGTTACTTTATGGGTTAATTTCACAGTTTGCTGGCCTCTGGCACATGATTTCGCACATGGAGACCGGCTCGCCCGAGGAGAAGTGCTCGAGGATGAATGTGACCGTGAATACGACGGGAGGCTCGACCATTCTCGACTACCAGCTGCCCCACAAGACGCTGGACGGCCAACTGAAAACGGACATGGTCTACAGCGTGGCGGATAAGACCAAACCGGCCGAGTCGTTTGCGGTGTTCAAGCAGCAGGACGGCACATGGTCAGGCATGTATCTCCCCAATTTACAACCGACCCTCTCAAATTAATTTCCTGCTCATGTTTATCGAGATAGGGCAAGTTTTAGCTTTTAGCGGGTAGATTGTAGAAACAAAGCCTAAATTTCACTTAACTTATTTATGCATTTATTTGTAACAATTATAACGACTCGGAGAAATTTAATTTTGAAAAATTTATAAGTACTTAATTTGGTTTTAATTGTTTTGTAATAGATATTATTATACTTTTGAAAGCTTAACATAATATTATTATTCCAAGTAATATATTGTAAATGGAAAAATAAATGAAAAAACAACAAAAAAGCTAGCCAAGAAATTTAAATTGTAGTATTTTTTTATTTAAATATAAAAAAATAATTATATGAACTATTTGTTATTATTATTCAACATATTTAAAAAATAAATTAAAAAAATTTATTATTTAAATTATTTTTAATTAGGTTTTGTGTGCTAAATTACATTGCAAGAAAACCATGTTATAATTTTTGGCTTAGTCTATTTTTAAGTATGTATTTAATTTTATTTTTATATTTTTTGACTTTGTGATCATCAAACTACATGAATTGTCGTATTTTTCAGGTCCCTACAATAAATATGTCGTGGCGACAGATTACGAGACATTCGCAATTACCATTTCCTGTCAGCCGGTTTTCAACACGGAAATAATGAAGATGGACCGCTCTATGTGCGCGCACGTCTACTCCAGAGAAAAAAGTCTGCCTGAAGGAACCTTAGAAATTTTACACGAATTCATGACCGGCTTTGATATCGACATTGATTCTATTAAAATGGTCGATCACACTGACTGTTAGAATTCATGATCCCAAAACCACAATTATTCATAAATAAAAATAATAATATTTGAATCAGACTATTATGTATAATTTCTCTTTGGAAATCAGATATTTTATTAATAAAGAATTTGATCAAATCAAAAAATGAATTGGAGTGAGAGAACGTGGTGTGATAAAAAAGGTGCTTTGCAGACCTCACCATTACCGTTTGTCGAGGTATACCTTCGTGGCTGTCTAGCCCACCCATCGAAACTGCAAACGAAAACTCGATGCGATTTCTCGCACGATTTATGAGGTGGAAAAGTACTTGGAAAGGGCGTGGGTAGTCGCCCGACAGGTCTCAGCCAATATAGCCTGAGAGGTATGCAACTACTTTTGCACCGATCAGCATTATTTTTTTCTTCTCTCTATTTTAGATTCCGTCAAACTAAATTTGATCTCTCTGGCTTGTAAATTTAATGATTCACTCACTCTTCAAATCCTCTTTGCAGAATCATAAGAAGAAGAGATAAAATGTGAAAATGCTTTATTTCCGCTCATTCTTTTGTCTCCGCGTGTGCCTTTTGTTGTCAGCTCAATGTGCGGCGGAGAAAGAAAGAGAAAGACACGACATGTCACTCTCACGCACACTGACTGGCACATGCAGTTACACACCCTCCAGCAACCCTTCATTTGTGGAGAGAAATGTTCCAATCTTGAAAAGATCTATTCTGGTTAAGGATAAGGATAGAAATATGTGTGGTGACCGAATTTTCAATGCTTGAGATTGGGTCTGGGTGGGTTTGAGGCGTTAGGGCATCATTTAGTAAGTTTCAAAAAAAGTCACGTAACAATATTTTTGGAAAAAAATAACCAATCATAAGACCAAAAACAAGCGGAATCCTTATTTTGATTACAAAAAATTTATTTGAAAAAAGTTTTGGAAATTATAATAAATATAGTGCATAAAGCTGTAGTTTCTGAGGGTGGGATTTTTTTTAAGATGTGCGGAATGTCCAAAAAGATATTAAATTATCGCTAATTAATATTATCTAGACCTCTAAACCTGTGTCTAATGGTCTATTTAGATTAGAAAAAAAGATACGTAATATAAGTTTGATTTACAAGTTGCAGTAATTCTTTAATACAATCACCTACAAAACAAGTACTTAAAATTCAGAAATTTACTTTTCATATTTTAAATTAAAGATTCATACATTGGATACTTACTTTTTATTTTGATTAAAAGTTTCTAAAATTTATGATGCCTTCAGAGGAAAAGGACTGGATTGTAAGCATAATTTATTGGATATAAAAAAAATGTATTAAATTATAGAAAAGATTAATTATTGTGAAATTAAAACTATTGTAACATTTAAAATTTTTTTTAAAAAAAATAATAAATTATTTTTTAAAATGTATGAAATGTATGTAAATTGTCAACAAAGTTAATATCTAATCCGATCTAATCTAATATAATTATTTATGAAGGTTATAAAAGTGACACATATATATAAAAAAAAAAATGAAAAAGATCACAACAGTGCGAAATAATTATTGAAGAGAAAAAAAGGAAATAAACAACGTTAAATTCGAAATTTGTCACATATTACTTTTAGTGCTAGAATTTTAAAGTGTGTGTAATTCTATTATTCTTTATTTAGTAAATGAGCAGCTGTTGAAACTTTGAACTAAGTAAGCCATTTTTATTTTATTTCTGCAAACATCCAAAGAGATTTACAATTAGTCCCACTCTGTTTGACTTTGCTGCAGTTCCAGCAGCAAGAACTTGTTGACGGTTCGCAGGCCAGCCAGCAGCAGCAGTTTATGGGTAGTTTGTGCGCCGCGGCTGCAGCCCGTAATGAAAACGACCACGAGAGTAAAAGGCTCTCTGCAGTCTTTACCGTTGGGCTAAGTGAGTTATGTTGTCGGAATGCATGTTTTATGGTAAAGTCAGTCGGAGATAGATGGATTTAATTCGCGAGCACGGTGTGGCTGGCGTGCCGGGGGTGGCACGACGGCCGCTTTCTTTCGTTTCGCTCGACGGCGAGAAGGAAGTTTGTAATTGCCTCGCCGCGTTCAGGCAAGCATCTCGGAAGTATTAAAACCACCGGCGAGTGGCACCTCTCCGGCTCTGGGCCGTACGTTTCAACCCAAGACAGCTAACTGCGCGGCTGTAGGGGCCGTGGAATAAATTTGGTTCTCGATAGTTGCGCCGCACAGGTGCCCTAAATCAATCTTGAACTTTCAACTTTAGCACCCCTTTTGATTTCGTTTCACCGCTTGAATGGAATTTTTAGTTTAATTGTATTGGTAATTTTTAACTAACCTTGCTAAAAATTCCAGAATATCAGTTTTTCCTATGCATATTAGAAAGTTGTATAACTCAATTTTTATATTTTTTATTTTCAAACTGATTATTTTGTGTACAAATTTTCAAGAAATTAAATAGCATAAACCAATACAAGTTTTATAAATATATTTGATAAAAATAAAAAATTTTATTTTGTTTAAAAAAATATTATTTTAATTTATAATTAATATTTGAAAAAACATGATTATGTTTATTTTTAATTTATGAATTAAAATTTATAATTTTTTTTTGGTATATGCAATTGTTCATAATAAATTAATAAAAAAATAGATAACAAGTAATAAAATTTATAAGTATATTGTTCGTTACAAGTGAAATTCATAGTTTGGTGGATATGATTTTTCTTCAGCTTGGTAATTTCATGCTATATACCAAATTTTATTTTATTTTCTAGACTTTGGCATTCTATTTTGCACACCAATAATACGAGATTTCTTGGCTCTCATCTTCTTTTCAATTAGACGTTTGCACATCCTCAGAGATCTGATCGAATCCGAGCTGTTCTCTGGAAATTAATTATCGCCAGCAAGTGACTTGCTTTCGCAGAGACACAAAGGAGCTGCCAAACACAAAAATAGCAACTCGAGGCTCACTCTTCGCCGCAAACAACAAAAGATCCCTTTCCTTGTCGGTGGGCCGCGTTTTGTTTTTTGTTTTCACGTAGCTTCTCCTACTGCAGAATCGATTTGCAGCTCTGCAGTGTGGCCAAAAAAGGTGAAAAGAGCAGCTCCCCCGTCTGTTAAGGAGCTGCGACGAGGAAGCAAGCACATCCAGAGTGCGCAAAAACCATTCGCGTCTGCTGTAAATGTCATTAACACGTTCATAAAAAGCAACGAGCAAAGGAACTAGAGGAGCGGCGCGCAAGAAGCTAGCAGATCGAGAAAAGGTACTTGGTGCCGAATCTTGCACGTTTCGAACACTCACACCTAATGCAGTGTCGCATCGAAATACTTTTTTGATACCGTTTGGTACTTTGTACTTTTCAACGTGGCAAAAATTATAGATGATTATTTTTAGAGTGAAACTTGCGGATTGTAACAACGGATTTTTTTTAAATTTAACAATCTTCAATAATTGAATATAAATTATTTTGAAATCGAGGGATTGAGTATAGGTTCAATAATTAAATGGTATATTTAATTTAACTTTGCTACTGTCATGGATTTGAAAATAAGTTTTTAAATAAATCAATATAAATAAAAACCCATTCAGCGTCAAACTTTGAATTTTGATCGCAGTGTTAAATTCAGTGCACTTGAATGGCTATGCAGATATTCCTTACAAATTTCGTCAAAGAAAGCCAAATAATAATAATAATTGACAAAATTCAAATTAATTTTTACGATTAGAAGACCGATTCTTACGTGGATTTCTGAAACCGTGCGAGAGATCAAGAAAAACAATTATTTTGATCATTCTAAATTTTTATGAGTTTAACGTAAGGGTTTTTATTAACTCAAATTGAAAAATTTAACACTGCACAGATTCTGTAAAAGGCTGGAGCAAAAGGAATTTTTCATTAGCCAAAAAGAAATTTAAAAAATATCTCCGCTGCACAAAAATTTCAAATTACATTTTTGGTCCCGAAGGTAGCAGATTTTCCGCCGTGATAATTTCTCCTCGGTCACAGGAAATTCCTTAAATAGAAATTCTCTGGAAAACGAGCCAACGCGCTGAGCGAGCGTGTCTTTGGTTGTCTCTTTGTCCTTGGTAAAAGCGATGACGCCCAAATTACACGCCAATCTGCGCCAAGGCATTTGCAAAATGAGGCTTAATTTGTGTCTGCCTAATATCATTCATTTAGCCTCTCTCGCCCTGCCAGAGGAGCTAAATGGAAGTCACCCGCCCGCCTTCTTGCTGCAGAGAGAGAGCGTGCGTGCGAAATCTTATCTTGAAGGGCCCTTTATTACACCTTTTTAGCGGCGCCATTTTAAACTCGCCCTCTGCACGCACATTATTTCCCTGCTGCTTTCTTTGTACAAACTGCGAGACGCGGGCGACAAAAGTGGAAATGGAAAGTAATTTCTGCACGTCATTTTGAATGCGCGCGTGACCTTTTCAAGCTGCTCCCACCGTTTCTTTCCTTGCAAATTTGAATTCATAAAGTATATTTCACCGCAAGTGGTTTGATAACAGCAGGTGAATTGTGTTCATGCAGCAGGCCAAAGGAACTTTCCAGCAGCCATTATTTGGCCAAAGAAATATTAACATAAAAAGATGAATGGTAAATGTTAAAAAGCTTAAAACGTTTTAAACAATATTTTATGTTTGTATATTATTTCAAAATAAAATTAAAACTTCAAAACATAATTACTTATTTAGCCAGACAACTTATTATTCTTTTAAAATTAATTAGTTATATGATTTCTTTAAAACATGAGTGTGAACTTCAATAATTATTATTTTTTTTTCTAAAATGTTTTGTTTTCATAAAAAAACATGAATTTATTTATTGCTTAATAGCATCAATCAATTACTTCTACAAAATTACCTAAACTGTAATTGAAATGAAAGGAACTGAGTCAAAAATATGCATGTACCTTTCAAAAGGTAGCGTAGCTTTTCCAAGCCAAGAAAGGACACAAAAGCAGAAATAAGAAAGTCCGGTGGCTAAACACAAAAATTGGAAGAGAAAATTATACGAAAACAACTTGGACAAAGAGACAAAGGGGAAGCATTTAAAAATTACCACCGCGACGTTGGAGACACTT